AAAAAAAATTGCAAAAATAATAAAAACTTTAAACACAATAATTTTTTTAATAATTTACAGTGAATCAATTCATCATTATCATGCAATTACAAGAAAAAATGTTCAAGGTAAATTTCACACTTCAATTGAGGGGAAAAAAATTAGGGTTAGAGTAGGTGTACCTTGGGTCGGCGGCCGGCGGACGGAGTTACGACAGTAGGTGGGTCGGCTGACGGCAGACGTGGCGGCGTCGGAGGTCGGAGGTCGGAGGTGGAGCTGTAGGCGGCCGCGGCGGAGGGCTTTCCCTTTCTACGTCGTTCGTCTCTACGTTTTGCGTTCGGTTGAGAATGAAAGAATTCACGACTACCGGGGATAAGATTTTAATTTAAACCTGCGACGGATCTCATTCCGTCGCCAAAACCGTCGCAGGCAATGGTCAAAAAAATTGACCGTCGAATATTAGCGACAAACCAAACTTTCTATCGTAGATCTGCGACGGGTAACCAAATTCCGTCGCAAATATTCCCAGAAATTAAATTCACTTGTTTTTGTCGCAGGTTCTGTCGCAATTTGTGACGGAAAAATTCCGTAGCAGATAATCTGTCGCAAATTGGACTAAATCTTGTAGTGAAAGCTGAAGCTATTTTTGATTTAATTCATTGTGACTTATGGGGCCCATATTCCCCTTGTTTGTCCTCTGGTGCTAAAGGGTGGCGGGTATATAATCTCGACACTCACCAATTTTTTCACACTCGGGATGTCGTGTTTGATGAAACTCAGTTTCCATTCTCTATCCCTTCCATCTCCCGTCCTGTCCAACCCATCTTAAACCCCGCCAACGTCGACTTCCCAGTCGTATCCCAGCCGGCTGCTTCCCTCGGTGACACCGAACCGCTCGAGCAGCCACAGTCACCATCTCCATCCCCCGTCCCGGTCTCGTCCCTATCACCGTCACCCGAACAGCCTTCCTCCTCTGTGTCTCAAGTCTCCTCAACGGGTAACACCACTTCATCCCTACCGTCTCCCGTTCCTCTGCCTCCCCGTACACGTCGCCTCCCCTCCCATCTTAATGATTATGTCCTCAATTCCGCTACTACCGTCACTTCGTTTCTCTCTTCATCTGGTACGCGGTTCCCAATTACTAACTATGTTCATTATGATAAGTTACATAACGGGTACAAAGGCTTTATTGGTGCTATTGATGCTTCTCCGGTTCCTACGTCTTATCGTGAGGCTGTCAAATTTGCCTCTTGGAGCTAGGGAAGCAATGTCACAGGAATTTACCGCTTTGGAGCGGAACCGTACTTGGGATATCACTGTCCTTCCTCCTAATCGGCAGGCCCTTGGCTGTCAGTGGGTGTACCGCACCAAGTATAG